GGTCTGGGCTGGGGATTCGAACCCGCCACCTTAGGTGTACGTGGCTGGCGCCTTAGCAGGTTGAGCTATAGGCGCTGAGCCGATAGTCATTTCTTAATGTATACATATGTCAAGACATCATTTGAGGGTGACACCCGTAGCTCGATGCATAGGGCACTGGCCACATACACCAGGGCTATTAGGTTCAAACCCAGCCTGGGCCAGCTAAAAATGTCAGTGACAACTGCAACAAAAAATGGCCAGGTGTTGTGGCGGGCTCCGGTAGTCTTAGCTACTTGGGAGGCTGAGGCAAGAGAATCTCTTAAGCCCAAGAGTTTGAGGTTGCTGTGAGCTGTGATGCCATGGCACTTTACCGAGGGTGACATAGTGAGACTCTGTCTCAAAAAAAAAGACATCATTTGACACCTTGAATATGTGTAGTTTTTATTTGTCAGTTCTACCTTAAAAAAGGTAAATATTCACATAAAATAGTAGAAGTCAAGAAGCTGGGACACACTATTTGTAGTATGTATGAGGATGACATAGTTTCCTTCATATTTAAGAGAAACTTCATGATTGACAATAATATATATACATGTAAGCATATATAATACATAAATCATTTGATAGAAAAGTGGGCAAAGGGCACAAAAGGGCATTTCCTAGCAGGTATTTAATCCTGTGCTTACCCTGACCCTGAACTAACATGGTGAGGAATTAAGTGATCTTGATATACTTACTGGATAGTTTAGCAGCTTCTCAACATGTAAAAAAGCATATCCCAGCAGGGCCATCTCTGAGAGCAAGTCTAACTGGCACTTGCATAAACAAAAAATGAATTTGCTTCAGATGATGATGATGATTATTTTTTGAGACATTGTCTCACCCTGTCACCCTTGGTAAAGTGCCATGGCGTTGCAACCTCCTACTCTTGGACTTAAGCGATTCTCTTGCCTCAGCCTTTTGAGTAGCTGGGACTGTAGGCACCTGCCACAATGCCTGGCTCTTTTTTTTTTTTTTTTGCAGTTGCCACTGCTGTTTTAGCTGGCCGGGGCTGGGGTTCGAACCCACCACCCTTGGTATATGGGGCTAGTGCCCTACCCACTGAGCAACAGGCGCCGCCCTGCTTCATATTATTAAAGGCAGGAAATATGTAGACATCCTCAGTAATGGACTGGTTGTCATAGCTCCAACTGTTGCAGTGAAATGGTACATAGCTATGAAAATACAATGAAGTAGGTCAGTGTGTACTGATGTGAACTTACCTCCAAGGTAAGTTGTTAAGAGGAAAATCAGGCTCGGCGCCTATAGCTCAACCGGCTAAGGCGCCAGCCACGTACACCTAAGGTGGCGGGTTCG